AAAAAAAAAAAAAAAACCATAATGGAAGGACAACATAGAGAAGTGATGGAGATGGAGCAGAGATAGAACACTGTAACAGTAAAAGATTGCACCCAAAAGCGACAACCTGCAGTAGAGAGAGATACCACTGAAAACCTGTTCATGGATTTGCCCACCTTAGACACAACAAAAAATTCATTCAAAGGGCAGCTAGACTATGACTGAAGGAAATTCATTTGCTAACACTACACAGTCTGCCAAGAGGGAGTGAAATTGCTAGAAGTCTCTCCAGGGTCAAAGGTGCTGGTGAGCACCATTCTTTTATGTTTCCGCTCCACCCTGAAGAGGAGCAGGGTCCAGGTGCACCAGCCAGCTTGCTAGAACCACCCCAGTGAGACCCTAATCCATACCAGCTCCCACATGGATATGTGTCTGCAGACAAGGGAAACAAAGCAAAAATAAACAAGTGGACTGCATCAAACTTAAAGACTTCTTCAGGGCAAAGGAAACCATCAACAAAACAAAAATCCAACCTATTGAATTAGAGAACATATTTGCAAATCACATATCTCATAAAGGGTTATTACCCAAAACAGATGAAGAACTTACAGATCTTAACATTTTAAAAATTCAATTAAAAATGAGAGGGGACTTGAATAGACATTTTCCCAAAAAAGACATACAGGCACATGAAAAGATAATCAACATTACTAATCATCAGGGAAATGCAAATCAAAACCACAGTGGTATATCACTTCACCCTTGTCAGAATGGCTATTACCAAAAAGACAAGAAATAAGAGTTGGTGAGGATATGGAGAAAAGAGAACCTTTGTATGCTCTTGGTGGGTAAGTAAACTGGTATATCCACTGTAGAAAACAGTATACAGATTCCTCAAAAATTAAAAATAGCACTACCTTGTGACACAGCAATTCTATATCTGGGCATTTGCCTGAAGAAGATGAAAACACCAATTATAAGAGATATATGAACCCCTATGTTCATTGCAGCATTATTTCCAGTAGGTAATATATGGAAGTAACCTAAGTGTCCATTAAAAGATGAATGGATGAAAAAGATGTGGGATATATATATATATACCAAGGAATAGTACTCAGCCATTAAAATGAATGAAATCTTGCTATTTGCAACAGCATGGATTGACTTTGATAGCATTATGGTAAATGAAATAAGTCAGAAAAAAAACAAATGTTTGAATTTACTTATATGTGGAACCTAAAAGTCAAAACAAATAAACAATGTTACAAAACAGAAACAGATTATAGGTCTAGGAGACAAATTGTTGGTTACCAGAGTAAGGGGGTGCATAGAGGTTGAGTGAAGTAGGTGAAGGAAATAAAAGGTACAAAGTTCTACTTATAAATAAATCATGGGAATAGAATATACAACATAAGGAATGCAGTCAATACTATAATAACTTGTATGGAGACAGATGGCAACTAGATTTATGAGAATCATTTCATACTGTATAAAAATATCAAATCACTATGATGTATACCTGAAATTAATAGGATACTGTATGTGTTATATTTCATTAAAAATTATAAGTGGGATGAATGTTGGGTACAAGTAATAAAAAAATACAGAAACAGCAGTCCCTGCCCGCACACGCACAGGGAGCTGTTGACAGCCGCTGTGGCAGAGGAGCCGAGGAAAGATGTGGGTTTTCGGCTACGGGTCGCTGATCTGGAAAGTGGATTTCCCCTATCAGGACAAGATGTTCGGATACATCGCAGGCTACAGCAGGCGCTTCTGGCAGGGCAGCACAGACCACCACGGGGTCCCCGGCAAGCCTGGAAGAGTTGTGACTCTTGTTGAAGATCCTGGGGGTTGTGTATGGGGTGTTGCTTACAGACTGCCAGTAGGAAAGGAAGAAGAAGTGAAAGAATACCTTGACTTCAGAGAGAAAGGAGGTTACAGGACCACGGCCGTCATTTTTTATCCAAAAGATCCCACAACAGAACCATTCAGTGTGTTGCTGTATATTGGAACATGTGATAATCCTAACTATCTTGGTCCTGCTCCTCTGGAAGACATTGCTGAACAAATTTTTAATGCAGCAGGTCCAAGTGGAAGAAATACAGAGTACCTCTTTGAACTTGCAAATTCTATTAGGAATGTTGTACCAGAAGATACAGATGAGCATCTTTTCTCTTTGGAAAAGTTAGTAAAGGAACGTTTAGAACAAAAACAGAACCTCAATTGCTTGTAAAGACCTAATCATTGACTTTTCTGAACAAGCAGAGCTTTTACTCTTCAGGGAATAGCTTCATATTACAATGGCAATATGATTTGGAAACATGTTTACTTAAAGATCTTATTTATTTTTAATGTGGTAGTCAAGATAGCAAAATTTATAGTTTAATTGCAGGTGTCCTGAAACATGTACATATATTCAAAATATTGGGATATAGTTAAAGAAAAAATTAAATTTTAATAATGTAATGATTTCCTGACTATATGATATTGAACACTTGCTCATGAGAAGTGAGTTCTTTAGAAAAATACAATGAAGGACTCAGTTCAGAGCTTGCTTTTATCAGAGTAAAAATAATTCTGTTGTTTCATATCACAATACTATTTTGAAGTTGTAGAAAATTAAACCAAAAGCCCACTACATATAATGAAGTTATACTTTGAATATATTCCTATACAGTAATTCTGTAACCATGGTTTAAAATGTACAAGCTTAAAATAATGTATAATTAGAAATATACAGTAATATAGAAAAAAAATACAGAAACAGAAAAAAAGGAAAAAAAATCCCACAGTAACTGTATAGTAAACTAACTAAAAGATAGCCCTTCTCACAGGTTGATTTACAGCCACAGAAGTATATAGGACTTAGATAGCTGAGTTTAGTTCCCAGTGGAACTTTGTCTTCAAGGTGTGTAGGACACAACACAGCAACTGGTGGTGATCTTAGGGCAAGTTTATTAATTTTGTAGTTTAAATAATCTTCAGTTTTACTGGTTGGTGGCTGCTCTATTCATCAGTTAATGAGAGAGAAATATATCATTTGTTATAATAGTGAATTTATTGCTTTCTTATAATTTTGTCAAATGTATATATATATATTTTAAAATCATAAGGCAGATCTAAGGCCCAAGATGACAGCATAGGAAGAGGCTGAACTCACCTCCTCCCATGCATACAACAAATCTACACCTACATGTAGAAAAATTCCTCTTGAGTAAGAGCTGAAGGCTGAATGAATAGCTTCTACACAACAAAGGATATAGAGACCACACAGAGAACAGCAGGAGAGATAGAGACTTGGTAACACCTGGAACCCCACCCCTGACACTATCACTGAGGGACCCACTTGAAGACTCACTAGTCCTAGAGCACAGAAAAAAAACTGTAGACAACTAGAATATAAGTGAAGGAAAATGTTTACTAACACTAGAGTCCACCAAATTAATAGAAACTAACACAAAAAGTCAAACAAAATGAATGAGTAGACAGAGGAATATGCTCCAAACAAAAGAACAAGACAAAACTTAAGAAAAAGACCTACAAAATGGAAGTAAGCAATCTAACAGACAAAGAGTTAAAACTAATTGGTTATAAAGATATTCACTGGACTTGAGAGAAGAATGAGTGTGCTCAGTGAGAACTTCAACAAAGAGAAAGAAAATATAAGAAAGAACCAATCAGAATTGAAGAATATAATAATTAAAATGAAAAGTACACCAGCGAGAAAAAAAGGTGGCAGAGTAGGTAGGCAAGGCAGAAACTTCCTCCGACATGCACATCAAGGAAGCAACTACAGCAAATACAACTAACCCTGAAAATGACCTGAAGACTGCAGAACAGACCACCTGCACCTGGAAAAAAGGAAAGAACACACAGAGAAGGGTAAAGTGGTAGAGCCATGATTGAGCAGGACCCAAGCCCTTCCACCATCTCAGCCCACAGATGGGAGGAAGAGGAACTGAGCAGGAAGGAGACAGGTGCTCAGGAACTCTGCACACCTGGCCCTGGAGATCTGCTCTGGGAACACAAGTCAATATTGCATTGAGTTCTGGTGATCAGTGGGGCTGGACACCAGGGAGACTTGGAGCATTCTAGGAGGCTGAGACTCCAGCCATTTGTAGACAGGCATGCTCCAGCACACCCAAAAGCCACAAGACTGCCCCACCCACCCCATTAGCTCGGCAGTGGGCAGGCAGAGGGCAGCCTCACCCACAATGATCCCAGCAGAAGTGCTGCTGCTCTGCTCACATGGGGTCTAGAGAGTAGTGGCTTTATGAAGAAGGTATCCTCCTGGACTTCTGTTTGTTGGGAATTTTTTGATGGCTGATTCAGTTTCCTTAGTAGTTACCAGTCTGTACAGATTGTTTTTTCTTCCTTGATTAGTCTTCAAGGATTTTATGTTTCTAGGAATCTACCCATTTCTCCTAGATTATTCAATTTGTTGGCATCTTTTTTTCATAGTAATCTCTTGGAATCCTTTGTATTTCTGTCATTTCAATTGTAACTTCTCTTTCATTTCTGATTTGAAGTTTCTCTCTTTTTTCTTCCTGAGAGTAGATAAAGGCTTGGTTATTTTGTTTATCTTTCCAATGAACCAAATCTTAGTTTCATTGATCTTTTCTATTGTTTTTATAGTCTCTATTTCATTTATTTCTGTTCTGATCCTTATTTCCTTCCCAGTACTAACTTTGGACTTCATTTGCTCTTTCTTTTCTAGTTCCTTTAGGTGTAAAGTTACAAGGTTTATTTGAAATTTTTCAATTCGCAGAGTAGATCTGTATTACTATGAACTTATCTCTTAGAACTGTATGTGCTACATCCCAAAGATTTTGAACTGTTGTGTTTCTATTTGCATTTCTCTCCAGGTATTTTGTGATTTCCTATTTGATTTGCTTGATTTGCTTATTGGCCCACTGGTTCTTTAATAGCATGTTATTTAGCCTCTATGTATGTGTTTTTTCCAGTTCTTTTTTCTTATAAATGAAATCTGGTTTCAATACTGTTTTAGTCAGAAGAGATGCTTGATATGACTTCAGTATTCTTGAATTTATTGAAAATTGTTTTTGTGACCTAATTTACTTATCCTGGATAATGTTCTGTCTGCATTTTAAAAGAATGTGTATTCTGCTGTTTTGGGCTGTTCTGTGTATATCTGTTAAGTTCATCTGGTCTAATATGTCATTCAAAGCCACCTTTTCTTTATTGATTTTCTATCTGGCTTGATATAAGTGGGGTATTAAAGTCCATTACTATTATTATAATATTATCAATTTCTCCCTTTATATCTGTTAATATTTGCTTTATATATTTCATACTATGTTGGGTGCTTGATATTTACAATTGTTATATTCTCTTGTTGGACTGATACTTTATTATTATATAATGCTCACCTTCATCTCATATTATAGTTTTTCTTTTAGAACCTATTTTGTCTATTTTAGGTATTGCTACCTAGCTTTTTTTCACTTCCATTTGCATCAAATATGTTTTCTCATCCTTCCCTTTCAGTCTATATATGTATTTAGGTCTGAATTGAGTGTCTGGTAGACAACATATAGAGGGGTCTTGTTTTTTTGTTTTTAGTCCATTCAGTCACCCTCTGTCTTTTTATTAGAGCATTTAGACCATTTACATTTATTTTAGTACATTTACATATTGATAGTTATATACTTGAGATTTTGTTAATTTTTATTCATGTTGTTTCTGTATTTCTTTTCTGTTCCTTTCTTCTTCCCTTGCTCTCTTCCCTTTGATTGATGACTTTATTTAGTGTTTATGGTTAGATTCCTTTCTCTTTATATTATGTGTATTTTTTATAGGCTTTTGGTTTGTAGTTACCACAAGGATGAAAAGTACAGTGTCAGGAATACAATCAATAATATTGTAATAACTTTGTATAGTGACAGATGGTAACTACACTGATTGTGGTGAGCATATCATAATATATATAATTGTCAAATCACTATGTTGTACATCTGAAACTAATATTGTATGTCAACTATTCTTTAATAAAAACATAATAAAGTCACCAGGTCCGTACAATTTTAGAATCACTCTACCTTCCCAGTTAATAAATATTTCACCGATATGTAGTAATCCTCTTTATCTCCAATAATACTATTTTTTTGTCCTAGATCCCATTTTATCTGAGACTAATATGGACACACCAGCTTTCTTTGAATACCATTTGTCTGATGTATCTTTAATCCATCTCATAAACTTCAGTCTTCCTGTGTTATTTTTTAAGTTGATGCCTTTATAAATAATACATAGTTAGATTTTGTAGGCTTTTTATTGAGTTTGGAAATTCTTGTGTTTTACCTAGAAAGTTTGTACATTTACCAGGATAATTTATTTTCTCAGATTAATTTCTACCATATTACCTTTCTCACTTGTTCTATATTTCTTTTTTCCCCTCATTTCTTGCATTATTTTGAATAGACTAAATTTCTTTGTTGTTGTTTGCACCTTATAATATTCTTACACTTGTTTGGAAGTTAAATACTCTGCTTCAATTTTTTAAGTATTTACCTTCACATTTTAACAGGCCAATTCAACAATTTCCAGATTTAAGCAGTGTATTATCCCCTCCCAAATAATGCAATTAGATTGTACAGTCATAATAATGACTGTCATCATAAGTTAACGCTATTTTTTTTAGTATCTTAATTGTATATTCTCTAATTAGCAACAATTAGATATTACAATTGTTGGTGGTTACAGTTCACATTGGTTTGGAATTGCTACATGCTTTGTTTCCCCAGTGAAAGATCCAATAAATACTCCATCAGATTCTGAACTACTTAAAAGATGAGCAAGAAGGATTCAAACATATGGAAAAAAATACGACTGCTATTCAAGAATATGGCTTACATCAATGGGCAAGAGAGCTACGTGATGCTGAGCCATAGAGTGAGACAAAGTCTCAGTGAGACAAAACCACAGAATGATACCCACAGGCAGCAGTGCGTGACATCTGCCCCTCCACATGGAAGTGCTCCCCTATAAACATGGACCAAGCAGCAGAGAGGAATGTGTGGACCGAGCAGCCAAGAGGAATGTGTGCTTCCTGCTAGTAATTAGGCATCAATGACAAACACTACAAAAACAATGAAGAAATCAGTTTACATCACTAATGCTTTTCTTATATTTTAAGTACCTTATAATAGCAAGTTTTGTAACCTGTAAAAATATTCTGTTCTGTCCACTTTTTAAAAGACATTTGAAACATTT